GTTGGGCTTGGGCTTCCGAAGGACTCACAAGTGAGGGGGCGTGTTAGAATATCACTTGTGAGTTGTCCCACATCGTTCATACATGAAAAATAGACCCACCTTATAAGTCTAATGGACTACTCCTCCTTCCACCAATTGGTTTTGGGATGGAACCCCACTTGGGCTTCATATGGGCTTTTTCCGTTCATGATGCGCTTCATATTAGTGGGACCGCACCCGTTTTTTCCCCAGTTTCTTACAATACGTATGCCTACCGGTAGGATTGTATACAAGCCGAGCCGAGCCGAGTTTGAGCTAAAGGTGTTCGAGATCGAGCTCAAGCTCTTAAAGAGCGGAGTCGAGCCGAGCTCGGCTCGTTAAATAAACGAGTTAAAAATTGAACTCGAGCATTAACAAGCTAAACTCGAGCCGAGCCGAGTCAGACTCGTTTAATTTAACAACACTACCCACCAATCACGTGTCAAGATCTTGTAATCTTTCAATCATATATTAATTGTGTATATGATTTGTTAAACTCGTGCCACATTAATTAGGCATATGATTTGTTAATCTCATGACACATTAATTGGTGTCCGCCACAGATATAAGAGTGGAAATGAACTAAAATATATAATTTTATAATTAAATGTATTATTTATGTATGAGTTAGAATCTTAGAATATATTTTAGCTTTGTTTGTAAATACATTTTGAGGCTAAATTATTGCTTTGAGATGAATTAGATAAGTAAACACCTAACTCGAGCTAAATAGTCTACATTCTTCCAAAAACCCTTTTTCTCCCCAATCCCTAGCCGCAACAGGTTCCTTCATTTGTCGACGCCGCCTCCTCTTCATAGGCCTTTCCGTGCGGCCAATTTCGGCCGACGCTGGCCGCGCAACTCGCTTCTCTTAGAGCCAAAGCGAGCTCTAATGGGTGGTTGGGCGTATGGGTTTGTGGTAGTGTGGTTTGGTCAAAAGGTGAGACGTGTGGCTCTAATGGTTGGTTGATGTTCGATTATTTGGTTCGATTGGAGCTGAGAATGCTGTTGGTGGGAGGGG